AAAAAAAGAAAAAATACTACAGGAGCACAATCAGACTTAATTTACAGTGAAGCAGACTCCTCAAAGCTGTAGATTTCTACAGAAGACCTGAAATATGCCCCTAAAACTAAAAATACTATGTTTCACTGAGCTCCTAGAGCGATTTACTCAGGTTTACAAGCTACTGCATGCCTTAGGGACTAAGCCAGGTCTTTGAGTTCATTATAAAAAACTAAAGAATGAGCACAAACAGTAACTTTCTAGCTTAACATACTCCTGGAGTAAATATATCTATATAAGGGAACCTACTGGGGAGAGGCAGAGAGACACAGACACAGAGAAAAAAATCAGTTCAAACTTTGGAGTATTTCCCAAACTCCTCAAAATGAAAACATGTATTTTAGCTAGCAAATCAATTTTATTTTTTATTGTGGTTTGGGTCAAAGTTTTCAGAGCAGACTGTCTCACTACTCAGCAATTTAGACACCTTTTTTTGTTTCATAACACAACCAGCTACTTTCTATATGTAACAGCACTCTTGCAAATTCCTCCTGGGGAGCTCCTTGCTTCCATTTATCCATTTTTCTTGTTCTCTTCTGCCTTTTGATATTTGTTTCTTTGGCAAATGCCGCCTTCTTAGTCTAATAAGGAGACTGTTTCTCCAAAGTGCTGTTATTCAGTCTGTTGTCTGGCTGCAAGGTACTGGGTGTGTGAGGGGGGTGTTTCTGTGTGTGTGAGAGAGCAGGTGATCTCAATTCCAGGTGTGAAATGTGTCAAAGAGCCAGTCTCTCATCAGATCAGACCCGTTAGTCTAGTCTTAATGATTTTCAGTTCTGTTCTCTCTTTTTTTTTTTCACATCCTGTCTGGGATCTACGGTGATCCTTATCAGAGACTTGGCTGTGGTAGCTAGACTAACCTGAGTTTATTTCCTATTACTTTACCTTCTAGACAGTGAAAAATAACATGTTAGATAGCCACTTGTTAGCTTTTAAGAACCTAACAGATCCTTAACACAGTAAAATACAGGACACTGTGTGAACTTGAATAGCAGCTGACAAAGCAGTCCTCTGTAGATCATCTCTTTTAGAGCAAACTTATTTAAAATTTATTGTCTTGTCTAAAAACAACTTTCTTAAAAAAATAAATTCAAATATTTTAGCATCAAAGGATAACAACCCTAAGCACAATAGCTCTGAACCCTGCCCTATCCTGAGCCAATCTCACTGTCTCCGACACACCTGCCCCTATTATGCCAGTCAGTGTGTTAATCTATCTCATCAGGGGTCTTCCTCTCCTGTGTTGTCCCTCCACCCTTCCAAGTATTATGTCCTTCTACAGGGAATGATCCCCCAGGCAACATGCCCAAAGTATGTGAAACAGAGTTTCAAAATCCTTGCCTCCAAAGAACAAGTTGGTTTCATCCACTCCAGGACAGATTCCATGGTATATTCAATACTCTTCTCTAGCATCTAAATCAAAAGTATTGATTCTTCTGTCATCCTTGTTCACTGTCTAGCTCTCTCATGCATAGCAAGTAACTGCAAAGATCATGGCCTGAAATCAGGTGCACCTTAGTCTCTAGACAGACATCTTTGCTCTTTAGCACTGTTGAGAGGTCCCTGACAGTAGACTTTCCAAATCTAGCTGGCCAGGTTATCCTCCAGATTTCTTGACACAAACTGGAAAGCACATCTAGGGAAGCAACTGTTTGCTGAAATATGTCAATTGGTATTGTGTCGATTCCGGAGTTCTTGTTCTTTGCCAACCCCTTCAGAGCAAGCAGCTTGAACTTCCTCTTTCACCACTACTGCCTTGTGGTCATATGCTATTTCATGAAATTCTTCTGTCAGCCATTAGAGAAATGCAAAGCAAAAGAATAATGCAAATAATCCGCAAATCAAACACCAAATCCCCCAGAAAACAAATAGTGATGAAGGCATGGGAAGAACAAACTCTCATGTACTGCTAGAGGGACTGTTACAACCACAGTGTAAGTCATATGATACTTCTTTAAAAAGTCAGAACCAGAGATAACATGTGATCCAGCAAACTTATACCAGGTGAATAACCTAGAGAAGAGCCAAGACATAGTACATCTGTAATTCACTGCATCATTAGATACTGAAACGTTAACTAAAAGATGGGCACCCTGTGTCCACCCGTGTACGACTGGATAAACAAACTATGGTGCATATACACAACTGGAGAGCAGAGCATACAATGTTCAAAAGTTAGCAATCTGAACAGCACCTCACATGCATGAACCTAGTGGACATGATGTCAAGTGAAATAAGTCAGGCACAAAATGGCAAATAATATAGGAGACTACAATTAAAAAAAAATGAAGAAAATATTTCCACATAGCAAGAGCTGGTTTGTGATGGTTACTTGGTATGAGAGGAGATGGGAGAAAACCACACCTGAGTGAAGGGAAAACTAAGACAGTAAGTCAGCAAAGTACTCAAGAAGAGGCAAGAGCAAGAAATATTATTACTATATACACAATCATGCAGTAGTGATAATACATCATTAGAATTTGACAAAAGGTCCAGCTGCCACTCAGCTATCTCTTCGACAGCTTAACTCTTGCCCCAAATGTCTCCATGCCTACAGGGTAAGATGCAGGATGCTAGGATAAAATGCTTGTCAGTTAATACTGTCATCATTTTTTTTTAAATGGGAAAAATCCCCACAAATTTTGGCTAGAAAAGGAAACCCCAATAATTTACAATTAGAAATACAGGTAGATTTAAAAGCTAAAAGGGCATGGGATGGTGTAGGAGTCACTCACAAGTATCTACAGGTTTGGCAGGAGGTATTTCTACATACATGCTCTAAATATATCCAAGTATGTGGTTATGAACCATCGAATTGGAACGTAACTGACCTGCCAGGAGGTTTCAGAGGCTGTAACTCTCACAGGAGGAGACTATCAGTCTTTCTCCTGCAGAGAATCTGGTGGATTCGAAGGGCATGGCTTTTTAGTTGGCAGTGCCTCTCCTTACCACTAAGCCACCAGAGTGCCTTCCTTCAGGCATTCAATTAAAACAAAACCCACCACCACTGTAAAGGACTCAGGCTGATCCTTCAGCAGATTTTCTGAGGCTGTAAAGGGCACTTTCTCTTACAGAGCCACTGGTGTATTTGAAATGCCAGAAGTTTGGGTTAGTACTCTCTCCTCCCTGCTGACTACACCACCAGGGCTAGAGAAAGCCATGTTGGCCCTTGCATGGCCTTCAAACCTAGAACTGAACCCACTCCTGGAGGCCACCTTACAGAAGAAGGGGGGGGGGGAAGTGGGTCTATAAAATTAACAATACACCCCATGAAGAATGACTACCATAAGCATTTGGACAAAACCAAAGCTCAGAAGGCAAGAATAAACAGGAAAGGACAAATGAGAACAGGGAAGCCAGACAGGAACCTGGAAGGTGCTATTAATGGATGGAACTGCACTCAACACATATTAAACAAAACGGGCACAAGCTGCTGAAGGGGAAACTCATTTAACCTCTCAATTTCCATCCAACTAAGAAAACCCCCCAACAAACAAAACCTCAAGGCATTTTACTCACTTGATACTAGGCCTGTGACCTAAAAACATTAAATATATTACTGCCACACCCGCCTCGCTGTCCTCTCTGGCCACGACGCCTGTGTGACAAAATGGGTCGTCCGTGCCTGTACGGGGTCTCTGACCTCAAGGATAGCATAAGAGGGAATCTTGCAAGCCCTGTGCTTGTGAGTGGGCTGATGCCTGGATATTTGTTACAGATGGGTCTTCGTAATCCTGGG